AAAAAAAAAGATTGAGAAGTTAGAGGGTTGACATGTTGTGGGGTTGTTAACCAATGTCATAAAACAATATGTGTATTACTGTTTCATGAGAAACTATTTGTTCTGTAAGCCTTCACCTGAAGTACGATTAAAAAAAAAAAAAAGATATAAGCCCAGGGACCTACTAATACAGAGAATTGGGCTCAGTGTCATACAAAATGGCAAACAGTATAAAATGGTTGTATGGGAGGTAGGGCTGCCTCATGGTTGAGTATGGCCTCAAATCCAGTCTGTGTGAATTTAAGTCCCAGCTCCGCCACTTACCAGGTGTGTCTAAATTATACTTCAATTTAGAAAATATTAGATGGTCCAGGATTAACTGAATTAATTATTGGTGAAGATTTTGTGTGAGTTCCTTCAGCTTGGTCTGTGTATAGTTGAAAGCGTGATGTGCACAACAGCCCCCATGTTACTACCAACACTTAACATTATTCACTTTTCTAATTCTAGCCAATCTGATGAGTATGTTGTGATATTGTTGTTTTAATCGCATTCCTATTGTTACTGATGTTTTTGAGCACCTTGAGAACGCTTAATGACCTTTTGGTTTTCCTCTTCTGCAAACTGCTTGTTCATGCCTCCTGAGGTTTAGTTAGCATCAACCCCTCAGGCAGTCCCTCTTGGTTTGGTCAGCTCCACTCACTGGCCTCAGGTCTTTTAGGAACCACGACCAAAGGGCAAATTGTTTACTGCAAAGAGTAAACGACACCTTGCATCTACCAAACTTAGGAATGAAGTCAACTCTTTCCAAAGTTATTTCTAGCCAAAAAGGTAAACGTAAAATGTTAAGTGGTCCAGTTGACACAGACCTTTCCTTATTTGATCTGTAGCCTCAGTTCCAAATTCTTAGGTAGCAAGAACATTACTTACTTTTTTATGATTAAAAAAAAAATACCACCCTGCTTTGCTAACCTCTGTAGTCTCCCAAATGGAATATCTAGTGCTTGTCTTTCAATCTGGCCACTCTCCATACTTCTGGAGCAGTTGCATATTTTGACGCTTCATCTGCAAATGAAGATCTCAGAAGGTGCTACTTGCCAGGGCAACCTACAACAGGTAATGCCAGTTATGGGATTCAATCCCCTGGGAACTCTGGGTCTCAGGTGCAAAGCCTAAATTAAGAACCAACTCAATAACAAAATCCTCCTTAATCCCTGAAAGCTAAACCTCTGAAAATTTTATTTACACTTAATGAAATATGTTGGCACTTTGGCTGCGTTCATTATTTACTACAAAACACTTGAAATCCATCTATGTTTGTTGTTTCCCTTATCAAGGTCATCAATAACTAACTATCAGTAATACCTGCAGCTTAAGCACTCTGAAGCATACAAAAGAAAGAAAAGATTAAAGTCTTTCAATGATTTCACTCTTAATTGAAGAGAGCAAACACATAAGGAAAATAAAAGGATGAGTAAATGCTAAACTGTGTTGATTTGATTATAAGTGCAAAACAGTTTTAAAGAAGAGACTGATCACTATAAACTAGAAGGGTTAAAAGAAAAAAAACATAATGAAAGAAGTGAAAAATAAGGATAGATAGGTATGATACTCCTAGACTACTGATTGGTCTGTATTTTCTGGAGCAATACCAGCATAAAAATACTTTGTATTGTTGCTTTCATGAGTGGTGCAGTGGTTAGGAGTCTTGGCTGTTAACCAAAAAGTTGACAGTTTGAACCGGCTGCTCTTTGGAAACCTTATGGGGCGGTTCTACTCTGTCCTATAGTGTCACTATTAAGTCGAATCCACTCGACGGTAACGGGCTTTTTTGTTTTTGTTTTTGTATATAGTTAAGAGGAGCCCTGATGGCATGGTGGTTAAAGCAATTGGCTGCTAACCAAAAGGTTGGCCGTTTGAACCCACCTGCCAGCTGCTCAGCGGGAGAAAGACGTGGCAGTCTGCTTCTGTAAAGATTTGCAGTCTTGGAAACCCTATGGGGCAGTTCTACTCTGCCCTATAGGGTCGCTATGAGTCAGAATCTACTGATAGCAGTGGGTTGGTTTGGGTTTTATATAGTTAAGGATATAAATTATCCCAACGATTGTGAAAACAAAAGGACATTCAACTTAAGCAGAAATGGCCTTGCTAGTTTTAGTCATTTGGGTAGTATGAATGAATAAAGGGTCCCTGCCTTCACTGAGCTTATTTCCTTCTCAGGAGATGTTCATGTTCAGCGTATCTGAATCACTAACAACTTTCGTTACCATTTATTAATCACTTATATGTACCAGGTACTGCGTTAAGCCTCCTTCCTTTGTCTTCTTATTTAATCATCACAACAACCCAATGAAATAAGCACGAAGACTTCCAGTTCTGCGTACGAACGGCACCTCTCTCACCAGACGTCCTTACGACATCAACTGGGAAAGATCTCGCAGCATCAAAATGCTAAAGCCCCACCCCCACCCTCGCCCCCCGAAATATTCAAAAGTATTAAAGGCGAAAGTACGCAAAGCCGCCGCGGACGCAGCGGATCTCCCAGGCGATAAGATGAAGCCCGCGCGAGGCTGCTGCAGGCCCGCCCCCGCCCTCGAAGCGTCCTCACCCCCACGCTCGCTCTCTGCGCATGCGCATGTGCACTAACCCGCCCCTCTCGCGACGGTCGGAGCCATTTCGCCGCCGCTTCCATGGTAGGTGAGGTGCGCTTTCCTGGTGTCTTTGTGGAAGGCCGGAGTTACGGACAGTCCTAAGCGTGCTGTGCTCTCGGGCACCAGAAAGCGGAGACTGGTAAGGAAAAGATACTCTTCCCGTCTTTCCCACTCTGAGGGGTGGGTGGCGTGAGGCCCTGCGGTACTGCAGCCTTTGTTGCGTAGCGCGGGTGGCGGCGGTGGGTGGGGGAAGGGACGAACGGCCCGGCGAGTTCCCGGATTGCGGATTGTGTGCGTTGCTTGCCGAAGCGCGCTTGCGCAGCTCGGGCCGCGCAGTGGCCCCTAGTCCTCCGCCCAGCTCCCACTCCAGTGTCCAAAGCGCAAACTCCCGCTTCCTCCGCCCTTCGAACGCCGGTGGTGGCGCTATGCTGCTAAGTGAAAGGGGGAAACTGTCTAGTCGTTAGCCCGCGGAGACGCCACACAGTGTCTAGGGCCATTCATTCATTTATGCCACAAATATTCGTTGCTATCCTACGGGAACTCTGGAGCTGTAAGCAAGTTAGAATCCCTGCCCTTCCCTCGAGAGGCTGCGGCGTGGGGGGAAGGGGAAGCAGGCGATAGAAAAATAAATAATTGCAGGCTTTTGTAAAAAATAGTAAAGGGTGTAAAGGCAGAGAGCTACTCGAGCTAGTGTGGCAAGGAAATGCGTCTTGGAGGAAGTCGACATTTGAGCTGTTGAAGCCCGAGAATGTGTCATGAAGATGCAGAGGAAAAGCAGAGGTACAGAGGCAGAAGGGATTACTTAGCCTTAAAGCCAGAAATTGGAGAGGGACTGAAAAAAAGGCCACGTGACTGGAGTGTGGCGAGAAGGATTTAAGAATAGATTTTAGGTAGCAACAGTGGAAACAGGGAAACCATCTTAAGACATTATTGCGATACTCCAGGTGTGCAGTGGTGTTGGCAGAGGGAGATGGAGAGAAGCGAATGGTTTGGAGACATTTTAGAGGCAGAATTGCATAATGGTGGAGGGTGGTAGATCTGGAGTCAGACTACCAACCTGGTTTGGAATTCTGGCTCCAATTACTAGTTCTGTCTCCTGGGGCAAGTTATTCTTTACCTTAGTGTCGTCATCTGTAAAAGGGGGATAACGATTAAAAAAAAAAAAAAAACCACACCAAACCCATTGGCGAGTCGATTCCGACTCATAGCAACGTTATAGGACAGAGTAGAACTGCCCCATAGAGGGTTTCCAAGGAGCGGCTGGTGGATTAGAACTGCCGACCTTTTGTTTAGCAGCTGAGCTCTTAACCACTGCGCCACCAGGGCTCCAGAGTTGTAAGGATTAGGTAAAATAGTTCATGAAGCTGATGCACCAGAGATACTGTTTGGCACATAGTAAGGACTCCACAAGGGATTGCTGTGGAGAATCTTGAGGGAGCGGATGACTCCTAAATTGTGATTAAGTAGGTGGGTGATGATGCCATTTATGGAAATGGAAAGGGGAGACAAGTTTGGGGAGGAAATACAAAATTCTGTTTTTACTCTTGTGTTGCCGACTAAGCATTCAAATGGGTATGTTAGTACCGCAGTTGAATGAACTGTGATTTTGGACTGAATTTCCAGTATATATTTGGACATCATTAGCATATAGTTGGTATTGAATATTTTGGGGTTAGATGAGACTACCTAGGAGGAAAGGAATTTGGTAGTTTAGTCCTTCATATTTCATGTTACCAGGCCACCCTGAGGGCTTGTTTCTTGAATTAATACTCGGGGGGAATGTACAGCTAGGTATCTTCAGCTTTTCACAGCTTTTCTGCGACTAGAGTGGCCCTTCACCAAATGACTGATCAGGATTAGCCTGTGGCCACAGAATAAATCTAACCAGTTTATACCATGGTCTGGTTTGATTACATTAGACTTAGGTGTTAACAAAATGCACTATGCATGAACAGAAGACAGGTTTAATGCTGGTAGTGGGGATTTCTCCTCACGGCAAACAAAATTCATAGCATATTTTCTCTGGTTGTAAATCTGGACTCATATGTTGCTTATAATTTAGGTTGAGGTGCTGTATCTTTTGGTATACAATAATCTGGGGTAGAGGGAGAGTGCCAACAAGTATGATGCTTGTTCAAGTATCCTGATACACTTCAAGAAAACCTGATCCTCAGGTTTTAATGAATAACAAGGCCTAAAGGAAAGATTTGGTACTGCCCCCTTACATTCAGACAAGAGACTTTTTTTTAAACTCTCAAAGTAATGAGACCCAACCAGAGGATATTTCGCTGTTTACAACCAATAGCAAACATTCAAGCACTTGGCAAAGGGAAAATTAGAAGGTCGACTGCTCCCTAATAGTGTTCCTTCGTTTCATTACTTGCGTTGTTAGTAGAAAAAAAGATGCCTTTAAAGTAGGAAAAAGGATTCCTTCAGGTAGCTCCCCTAATGCATTAAAAAAAATTTTTTTTTTAATTTTGATACTTGAAGGTATTTTAGGAACAGAGAGGTGAGTTATATATATGGGAGCACTTTGAACATTGGGCTTCAGGAGGAGGATTGAAGTGATGGGGCCATTTTAGAGCTAATAGTGGACATTTAGGAACACTTTGGAGAGATGTAAACATTTACTGAATACTTACTGTTTGGACTTAATATATATGCATACACACATGTCCTACACCTTTGACGAAAATCGATTAGCAGTCATATCAGAATGATAACAAGCCATTTGTTTTAAACACAATATGTTGATTTCTTAATATAGTAGTTTGGGTTTAGGACTCCACAGTGGGTGACTTGGAAAAGTTGCTTGACTTAGTTCTAAGTCCCAGTTTCTTCCACTGTTTAAAAGCAGTTATAGTATTTAACATATAATAGTGTCAGCCATAGCAACTATTGTTAATGAAGATTGAGTGAAAACACATAAGGTGCTTATTGTAGAAAGTAGAATATTACATGAAAGTTTTTGTTTTAAAGATACAAAACAGTCATAGTCACCCAAAGATAGCCATTTTGCAAACTCTTTCTTTTCAGTCTTGATTTATGCATATATACTTTTTATGTAGTTAAAATTAAAAATACAATTTTATATCTTTCTTGTAGTATGTCATACTTTCCAGTTTTGTCATTAAAAGTTCCTCATGGACAGTTTTAATAGTTGCATGATAGAATATTCTGTACTTAGCCTGAATTTTCATTAATTTTGAGTTATTGGTTATTTTCACTTTGTGGTATTATAAATAATGCTGTTTTCAAATAACTTTTTTTTAGGTCTGAAGAAGACACTTGAATCATGGGTGACGTTAAAAATTTCCTGTATGCCTGGTGTGGCAAAAAGAAGATGACCCCATCCTATGAAATTAGAGCAGTGGGGAACAAAAACAGGCAGAAATTCATGTGTGAGGTACTAACGAAAACAGTTTACATTTGTGTGATTTATGAGGCACATGTGGGGGTTAAAAGAAGAATGTTTGGAAATGTTAATGTGTTGCAGGTTGAGGAAGAGTAGTTCTTGATTATGACTTGCCCCTTATTCTGTTTTATTATAATTCAGTCTGATTAATACATTAATTCTAATTATAGCCCCATTGCTCCTCAGCTTCCTTAGTACTAGTAGTGCAGATTAGAAAAGTTGGATCATCTGTTCACTAACTCCGGTAGAAAATAGAGAAGTTCTTGACTGTTTCAGGTCAAAATGTTTGAAACAGGGCTTCACCCCAGGTATACTGAATCAGAATCTAAATTTTAACAAAATCTCCAGGTGATTCTTAAGTATAATAAATTTTGAGAACCACTGCTCTACTAATGGTTCTCAGATTGGTCCCTAACCAGCAGCATTAGCATTGCTTGGGAACTTGTTAGAATTGAGAAATGATAATTCTGAACCGGGGTTCAAACCAGAACGCAGCCAGTTCGCACCCCTGGTTTGAAATAAAGACAAATGGAGGGCTTGTTCTTAGTAGTTGCAAAATCAGATTTTAATGTGGAATGTTCTGTCTTATGAGTAGAGAATATGTGAGCCAAATAAATTAATATTATTTTTGCATTAGTTTTTTAAGGGATAGCATGGTTCAAGCTTTTTTATACAGTAGCCCATGAATTCTCTTAGATGTGTTAATGTATTTATAGAGTATATCTCCAGCAGTTAGCTGTTGGCTATCCTTTAGACTATTAAATTACGAATTTTTAAAATCCCAGAATTACCCAGGTCAGTCTCTTAATACATTTTTTTCTTGGCTATTAAAGGTTCGAGTGGAAGGGTACAATTATACAGGCATGGGCAATTCCACCAATAAAAAAGACGCACAAAGCAATGCTGCCAGAGACTTTGTTAACTATTTGGTTCGAATAAATGAAGTAAAAAGTGAAGACGTCCCAGCTGTTGGGGTAGGTACTTAGGGCAAAGTACTCAAGATGTATGCATTCTAAGGTTATGCTAACCTGATACATACGGAGACTCATGATACCTTGTTTTCTCAGAGTACTGGAATAAGTTTTTGAAGATTTGAAATTCATTCTTATTATGTACCTGTTTTATGGGTCGGAGCAATTCTTTTAATCTCTGTGTTTTAAGATTTTATTTCATGCAGTCACACACCAGATTTTTCAGAACCTGTTGTGTTCCGTGGGCTCTCAAAGATAACATATTAGATGTTTTTATTAGATATTAAATTTATATTATTTCTGTTTTATATTTAACTTATTAAATATAAAAACAAGTAACATTTTAACACAATTTCTGTTCTCATTGGCACTTGTTATATAACCAAAACCAAACCAAACCTGTTGCCATTGAGTCGATTCTGACTCGTAGAGACCTTATAGGACAGAGTAGAACTGCCCCATAGGGCTGGTGGATTCAAACTGCTAACCTTTTGGTTAACCAAAATATGTCATTCACTGGAATAATAGTCTAGTGTTTTTGATACCATGATTGGCTTAATTATATTATGTAAGTATTCAGTAAAGACCTAATTCTTGTTTTAAAAAATAAGTTTATTTCTCATTTAATTTAAAAAAATGAAAATACAAATTTTCACAAAAATAGAGGGATTGTTGACTCACTGAAAGGTTCATGTTGTAAGTAAATCCTGTAGATAACATAAAATGAGAGAATTTTTTATAAAATGTTTAGAAATAATACTGATATCAATTTTAACAGAGTCATACTTTTTACTGAATTTTTGTATTCTGGCTTATTTATAAAAGTAAAAATACATGTTTTATTTCCTTCTGTTACTTTGGCCTAGAAGGCAAAAGACTTTCTGGTAACGATTATATAATTATAGGATTTTTAAAAGTCTTAAATGCTAAATAATTGTAGGATTTTTTAAAGTTTTTAATTGGCATTGGTTTGCTCATCTATAGGATGAAGGGATTGAACAAGATTTTTACTGGCTATGAAAAGAATGTTGCAAATAATCTTTCAAATATTTGAAGTCATTGGAGTTTGCGTCACCTGTTACGACCTGTATCTTTTAACCACTTCCTTTTTGTTATCTTAGAGTGTAGGTCTGCTGGTGGCAGATTCTCTTTAATTTTCTTTTATCTAAAAATGTAGTTATTTCACTTTTTTATTATTATTGTACTTTAGATGAAGGTTTACAGAGCAAACAAGTTTCTCATTAAACAATATGCATACTGTTCGGTGACACTGGTTGCCAACCCCGTGACATGTCAACACTCTCTCCTTCTCAGCCTTGCATTCACCATTACCAGCTTTTCTGTCCCCTCCTGCCTTCTCATCTTTGCCCCTGGGCTGGTGTGTCTGTTTAGTCTTCTTTTGTTTTATGGGCCTATCTAACCTTTGGCTGAAGGGTGAACTTCAGGAGTGACTTCATTATTGAGCTATAACGGTGTCTGGGGGCCATACTCTCAGGGTTTCTCCAGTCTCTGTCAGACCAGTAAGTCTGGTCTTTTTTTGTGAGTTTGAATTTTGTTCTACATCTCCAGCTCTGTCCAGGATCCTCTGTTGTGATCCCTGTTAGAGCAGTAAGTGATGGTAGCCAGGCACCATCTAATTGTGCTGGACTTAGTCTGGTGGAGGCTGTGGTAGTTGTGGTTCATTAGTCCTTTGGACTAATCTTGTGTCTTTGGTTTTCTTCTTTCTTCCTTGCTCGAGACAAGTTGAGACCAGTGGAGTATCTTAGATGGCCTCTCACAAGCCTTTACCTTCTTTCTTGAAGAATATTTTCCTTGGATATAGAATTCTGGGTTGCCAGATTCTTGATTTTGGTTCTATTCATTTAGCACTTTAAAGGTCTTGTTCTCTTATTGTCTTACTTCCATTGTTTCTGATGAGAAATCAACTATATTTGAATTATCTTTCCCTTATATGTAATGTGCGGTTTTCTCAGGTTATTTTCAAGAATTTTTTTTCTTTATCTTTTATTTTCAGCAGTTTGACTGTGATGTGACTGGGCATGGGTTTCTTTATATTTATCCTGCTTGGAGTTTGCTGAGATTCTTGAGTATGTAAATTTATGTCTTTCACCAAATTTGGGAAAGTTTGGTTGTTTTCTTCAAATACTTCTTTATTTTCCTCTCTCCTCGTGGAACTCATGTTAGAAAGTATGCTAAACTTTTTGCTGTTATCCCACAGGTCTCTGAGGTTTTCCTTTTTTGTACTTTCTGCTCTTTCAACTGAATAATTTTTATTAATCTAAGGAGCCCCTGGTTGCCCAGTGGTTAAGAGCTCCGCTGCTTACCAAAAGGTCGGCAGTTTGAATCCATCATCTGCTCCTTGGAAACTCTGTGGGGCAGTTCTGCTCTGACCTGTAGGGTTGCTATTAGTTGGAATTGACTTGATGGCAATGGGTTTGTTTGGTTTTAAGGAGTCTTAATGGCGCAATGGCTGCTAACCAGAACGTTGGTGGTTCGAACCCATCTGAGTGGCTCTGTGGGAGAAAGACCTGGTGATCTACTCCAGTAAAGATTACAGCCTAGAAAACCCTATGGGGTAGTTCTACTTTGTCACATGCGGTCACTTTAAGTCAAGACCCGACTCAACAGCATCCAACAACAACAGTTTTCAAATTCACTGACTTTTCTCTGTCAGTTCCATTATGCTATTCAGTGCATTTTTTATTTCAGATGTTGTCTTTTTCATTTCTAGAATTCCTGGTGTGTTTTTTATATATTATTTCTCTGCTGGCATTTCCTATTTTGGCATTCATGCAAGCATGTGTTCGTAGTGTGAGTATGAATTTTCTTTATGTCACTGAGCATAATATATAATAGCTGCTTTGAAATCCTTGACTACTAATTCTGACATCTGGGTCATCTTAGGATTGGTCACTGTTGATTGTATTTTCTCTTGAGATTGAATCATATTTTTCTGTTTGTATGTCAAGTAGTTTTGGGTTGTATCCAGGGCATGGTGAATAGTATGTTTTGGCAATTCTGAAAAATGTTACATTCTTCCAAAAAATATTGATTTTGCTGTCATTTTATCAGGCAATTAATTTGATTGGACTCAAACTGCGAACACTGTCAGCTTGATCTCATTTCAGTTCTCTAATCCTTTGTTAGGTAGCTTTGGAGTCTGCCCTTGAACCATATGTGTGGTTCAGGAGTTAGCCAGAGATTTGGGCAGAGTTTCTCACTCTTTTCTGGAATACCCTCTCAAATTTAGCAGCTTTGGTTCCCCCAAACTCTATCCTCTGGTTCTTCAGACCAGAAAGAATTCAGAAGAGCCTTCCCTCAGGCTAAAAGGTGTAATCAACAGGAATTACACCCTTGCCATCGTTCCCTGCTTCCCGGTATCAATTTACCTTCAGAATCTGCTTGCTTTTGTTCACTCTTCAGTGCCTTCATATAGTTGTTTTTTTGCTGTCCCCTCACCCCCCTCCTAGAGTTTCTGTTGTTTGCAGAAGGGTTAATCCTGCCTTCCTTGGCCTTGCAAAAGCAGTACCTTACTTTCTCATTAACATTTTAATAAGCTTAGATCTTACCCATAAAATGCTGTGATTATGCATTTCCTAACCTATCCCTCAATTTTTTTGTTCCTCAAATATGTCATCAATTTTCTACCTCAAGACTTTTGTACTTATTTTTTCTTCTACCTGGAGGCTCTTCCCCAGATTATCCATAGAACATTTAATGAGATACTATCTTCTCAATAAGGTCTTCCCCAGCCATCCTATTTAAAATCACAAGTTCATTGCCATCCTCACCCTGGTATTCCTATCACCTTTCATTGCTTCATTTTTCTTTATAGCACCTAGAACCATCTAACCCAGTTGTTCACAATTAGAGGCAATTTTAGTTCTTGGGGACGTTTGTCAATGTCTAGAGACATTTTCTTTGTTATAACTGGAGAGGGCCCCTGGTAGAGGGGCTAGTAGGTAGAGGCCAGGGATGATGCTCAAAATCCCATAATGCACAGGACAGCTCCCCCACAACAAAGAATTTTCCAGCCCAAACTCAGTAGTGCCAAGGTTGAGAAACCCTGTTCTGATTTTTTTTTCTAGATCCTCATATTAGAACGTAAGTGTATGAGGACAAGAGATTTTTATCTGTTTTTAGTTCAGTTTAATTCCCTAATAGAATAGTTTCTGGACTATAGCAGGTACTTGAATGTTGTTTGGTTGAATGATGAGTGGATGATTTTGGAAAAATTCAGTCATACAGAAGCTCGTCTCAACCTCCCCATCCCCGTCAAACCCTTCGTGTCACTTAACTCCTTTAGAAGTTAGCCTTAAACTCCACAAAGTGCACTCCCAGAAGTGACCTATATGTTCCTAAGTGCAAAGGATACTTGAAAATTTTTTTTTACTGTGGAAAATTTCAAATGTATATAAAAGTAAGAATAATATAATGAATCCCCACTTTCCTGTCATCCAACTGCAGTACTTTTCAGCATGGCCAGTCTTCATTCCTCTCTCCCCCTTCCCACCAGATTATTTTGAAGCAGATTCCAGACATCATTTATCTGTTAATACTTCAGTTTGTATCTCTGAGATACTCTTTTTAAAAAATATATATATAATGTCATTATAAAAAAAGAAAGAAGTTCCTTAATATCAAATATCTAATTAGTGTTCAAAGATTTCTAGTTGTTCCATAAGTGCTTTTTTTTTTTTCCTTTTTGCAGTTTGTGTAAATCATGATCCAGGTGGCGTTCATACACTGCAGTTGGTTGATATCACTTAAGTCTTTTAATCACTAGATTTTCTATCTCTATTCTCTTCTCTTTGTCTTTGTCTTTTTTACCTCTCTTGTTTTTCCTTGGCAACTTGTTGGAGAAACCAGGCCATTTATTCTTTGGTTTTCCATAATCTAGATTTTGCAGATTATATCTCTGTGGTATCAATTAACATGTTTCTCTGCTTCTGTTTTCTGTAAATGAATAGTTAGATCTAGGGGCTTGCTGAGATTCAGGTTTG